AGTGGCGGGTCACACTCGCCACGTCACAGCGCTGTCCGCAGATGTATGTGGCGTTTTCAGCGGAGAACCTTTGCCAGGAGTAAACCCACCACATCCTCGAGCGCTGCCGCTGCTCGTCCGCGACCGCTTATTCGGTAGGCCGGAGCCCACCTTATTCACGGTTAGCCGCGAGATGACGGCCGTTCCCCTATCCGCGACCTGGGGACGCGCTCGGTAGCATACAGCTCTGCTCTTCCGAGACGCACAACAGCCAACAGCGAACGATACCTATATTGATTGAGAGATTCGTACCAGGCTTATAAAATCGATAACGAACAAGTTACTGCAAACAAGGGTGGAGTTCAGTCACCGTTTAGCGAACGTTTCTGGGTTGTTAGTGCGCCAGATGAAGCTTGAACGGGAAGGAGAGAGAGGATGTACATCACCCACCGCACTTTCAGTCCCATTACAACTTCATGATTTCTTGCGTTGTCGGATGTTATACCGCTCGGTCACCCGGTCCAAAGTAGTCCTTGTTGTAGGATGTACTCCGAACTTTGTGTTGCCAAGTGCGAACTGCAAGGCAGCAACCGATGGCCACTTGGCTAACTGTAAAAGCTTGTTTAGATGAATGCCAGTTGGTAGGGGGCAAAAACCATATATAATGCTCAGCCACCTTCTCCTCAAAACACTTCCCATAGGTACGAGATATTTTGCTAAATCCGTCACTTCATTAACTGCTGCAGTTGATCTTCCATGACCGCTTAGTCAGTGAGCCTAGATCCTCCTTATTCGCCGTTGAACGCAAATCAGCGGCTGTTCCTCTTTGCTATCTGGTAGCATACAGTTCTGCCTTTACTGAGCATGAAAGGCAAAGGAAGATTGATTTAACAATCTTTGATTTCAAAGGTAGAATGATAAAAATCAAGAATAAATGTAATACTTGTTCGTGAATCGTTGTCGGTGACTTCGGTTTCATCGGCAAAGAACTTGATGTTCTACAGAGTTTATTTTTATTCCAGACTGGACAACCGCCACCGTTGCTGTAATCGACCGTTCCCGTTATTTTTACGATCGCTTTCTGTCTCGTATAAAACAGGTTTGCGTCGGGCTTCTCTTTGCCAGTTTCAACCCTTGTACAGTTTCACTCAAAACCAGTAGGCTCGTTCGACCTCGAGGTTACACCCATCATCTAGTTGTACGATTCCAGGTTGAATTTTGTACGGTCTGAGAAGGATATAGTGATTAGGAGGAATAACTCAGCCATCACTAATTTGATGGTAGGCAGCTTCGCTCAATAATAAGCCTGTCTTAGTGGAATCTTACGCTGTTTGTCACTCCAAGACCCATTAATTCCGCTGTCAAACATCAACCATTTGTAATTATATGGGGTTTACCCCCTTTTTATTGTTCATTAGACTGTGATGCATGATCAAAAGTGGAAAAGTGCTGCGAAACAACCTCCGAAATTCCACTGCATTTGAAGTTATTCCGTACTGAATGATGTAGAAATATAATGAGTAGGCGATCACGCCTTGAGAACCGCGCGACAAAATAACGGAACTAAACCTTTAGAGAGATTCTTTTAAATTGTAAACTTTATTGTGATGAATATCAGATGAGGAAAGTCGTACACTCACGAGGACCTGCTGTTTAGTGATGGTAACTGGTGCTCTAAGCCCCGGGACTTGGAGTGGCGAAGCACATAAGGCTCCGCTAGGCTAGGCGTGGTATTGAACCCGAGGACAGCAAAGCAACCTACCACACAAAATAGTAGAATATACTATTGATGTACGACGTACTGTATCATTGAATCAGTAAATTGGTTATCTTTAGTCGGTGAAAACAGCAATACGTTTAGCTGATTAACTTCTCTGTTGTCATTCTTCTAACTAATTAACAAACTATAAATTTCGATAATTCTTCTCCTCATTTGTAACACTTAGACTGGCTTGATCACAGTTGTGTAACCAGTTGGTTTCAGATGACTCCACAGCGTTGGCATTGTGTATTTATTGGTGCTTACCCTACCCCCCCCGGCACTGAACGTTCCGTCCCACATTTAATAGGAAATTGTCGCCTGGTGCCTACAACTGGTGCTCACATTGCCTATGTTCAACTCGGCTTGGAAACGCTATCGATTAAATCGCTTGCGGTCACGAGACCAATCGAACAGTGAGTCCACTCAGTCCACTGAAGGATTCAGTCAGTTTACTCAGTCTAGCGCGGCCGGATCGATTGAATGCGGTCGTGCGGTCTCATCGTCCCTGTTCTCCAAATCGGTCACGCTTCTGTTGGCCCTGTCCGATTCGTTACGTAGCACCCCGCTGGATGAGTTTGGTCTGGTATGTTCTTTTTTGCTTACCTGCATTCACTTGAGCCTCCTGCGCTTACTATACCGCGTTTGCAATGGTTCTGATATCCGTAGCAAGTTCCGTTCGAAATTTCAACACTGAGAAGCACCTATGTGGATGTCTTCATAGGAAATTATTTTCTCGTTCTTATCCAATAGGCTGCAATTCAAATAGCACGTCAAACGACATCCCGCGGCTATTGATGATAACAGCTGTTTGATTTTCATAACACCAAGTAACATACAAACATGTCTCGGAATTTGTTAGTGTTGCAGTAAACAAAATTAATTTGATCACTGGGCATTTTCCATCGGAATAAAGAATT